AGTGTGGCTTTATTTTAAAATAATTATGAGTGTTCTATTTTTTATTTATTTATGTTGTTTTAGGAAAATGTGATATTATTTGTTTATTTATTTATTTTTATTATTATTATATATAAAAGAAAACAAACTAAGTAATTTAACTAACATGAAATAAATCATCCTTAATGGTAAGTTAACACTCTACTGAAAAGAGTAAGCATTTCTATTACCAAAAACAAATAGTAACAATTATTAGTTATTAACTATTAGATATTGGTTAAATTTGAGCAACTAATCCAAATGGCTTAATCCAAATGGCTGCTCTAACTATTAACAAATAGTTGTTTTTAACTTTTCAAAGAAATTCAACAATTTTGTTTTATAAATATAGTATGACTAAGAAATAATTAGTACTTTCAACTAAATATAACCTAATTTCAAGCATTGGATTCATAATTAATTTCCTTAAATATACTAAATTAATGTGGAGAAAGCATAAAATGAGCATCGAACTATGTAAAAGTGTCTCAAAATGTGCAAAAATTGATCAAGACCACTTTAACTATAAATTTGAAAAAAAAAAAAAAATATATATATATATATAACCTAAAGTTTTAGCTCTTTTTAATGGGTATAACCTTGTAGAAGCCCTCTAACTCTTTGTTTTTGAGACCATTAACCCCTCAACATACATTTTATATATTTTTAACCTATTTACTTTACATAATTGATGTAATTGGTCTATAATAGATAGAATCTCATTGAGCGATTCAAGTGATCGCCTCTAGTCCATTACCCTATTGCCTACAATGTCATTTTGGCATAAATATAATCCACTTGAACCCATGGAGCTTGGAAAAATCTTGCTTAGGATGAGACCCATGTTTGTTTTGAGCAAAGATTTTTTCACCTCCAATAACTCAAGTGAACCATATTTATGTTAACATGACATTAAAAAGGATAAGATAACAAAATAAAAATGACCATATGATTCACATGATAAGATTTTGTTTATTTTAAATCAATTACAACATTCATGTGAAGTTTATGAACTAAAATATACAATGTATTTTGAGGGCTAATGGTCTCAACAACATAATTAAAGGGCTTTTAGGGGGTCAAGGCCCCCTTTTTTATGCAGCTCCATGTTTTGCTGAGGATCAATCTTGAGTGTTTATAATTTTTCCCTAAAAAGTTGTACAAACAATTCAATTAAAAGTTGATAACTTATTTTCATGAAAATTACAAGAACAAAAGTACTGCAAATTACAAAAAAAAAAAAAAAAGGAAAAAGAAAGAAAGAAAGAAAGAAAGAAAGAAGAAAAACACAAAGCTACAAGTAAATTACTGTAATATCCAAAATTTTTTTGAAATTTTAGAATTTAAGTTAAGGACTTTTGTAGTAGAAATTATTATTATTTAGTTTAATAGCTAAAATTCACAAACTAAGGGGGTCAAAAGTAAAATTTGGTGATAAAAGGGGGCTGAGCAGGCTTTCCTTTTTCCTCCCCTTGCCTTTTGAGTGTTTTCCCCAACTCCTTACCAAAACCTTGCTTTCAAAATCCCTAGCTTGTGCCCAGCCTTTTTTCGATGAGAACCAGGTGAAAGTTGGCCTTTTTTCTTTTTCTCCTAGCAAGGGTTAGAGATTTATGAGTTTACGATTCTCAAATAATGATGAAAAACCCAACTCTTGCTACTATTATCCCCCAATTTTTTGGTCCATGTCGGGTTCTTCAGCAGTATACAAGGAGGCCGCCACTTTCCAGCACTATTGGGTAAGAAATTAGCCATATTGCTCATCTTTACATTGTTGATTTGAATTGGGTTAGCTCCAATCATTTAGGGTTTTCAATTTTGGAAGTGTTTCTATAGTCCCTCTTTGATTTTGCCCATAATCAAGCACCAACAGAATCTGATCTCTTTATGCTAGAAAACTTTTGACAACATGACCTTGCTGTAGTATTTTACCCATAACTCCTTATATAGTTATCGGATTACATCCATTTTTGATTCTTTAGAAAGCTAAGAGAAAGCCCTACAACTTTTATATTGGATGTTTAACCTAGTTAAGCTATTTTCATGATGAAAACTTTGCTGCAAGTTCGATTCTTGCTGATGGACTTAACTGGCTGCCCGACCCTAAGTCAATATTTTGGGTATAATTTTCTCTGTAAATGTCGGATTAAGGTGATTCTTGAGGCTATAGAAACCTAAGACATAGGGCTACAATTTATCTATGACCACTTAACCCAGATTGGTCAATTTCTGGGCACAAATTCTATTAGAATTTCCAATTTGAAATCTGACCAAAATTTCTCTCAAAAGTACCTAGAAATTTACAATATTTTTTGCTTTATTCCTACTGTACCTACTGCCATATTTCATCATGATTTTACTAGACCTTTAGTTGTTGTTTTCTTACTCTAAAACCCCTTGTTATTGGTTTGTTTTGGCAAACTTTTTGCTATTGCATTTTTGCTTAAATGCTGCCCAGTTTTGGCTTGTAATCTACCATGTTTTTGCTGCTGACTTTTGCCCAAAAAATTCCTATTTTTCAGGGCCTTTTCCAAGTATTTTGGGACTACTTTAAATGGTAGAAACCCCCTACTTTACTACCCAATATTTCTACTGGTTTTCTAGGATGGTTTTAAGCCCGATTTCTCCCATTTTTCCACCTTATTCTGTCTAGAAAATCTGTTTGGGATACCTATTATTTTGTGTGTCTTTTGGAGCTGTTTTAAGCATATTCTAAATATTCATTTGATGTGGTATAGGTTCTAAATCCCCTTCACCATCTGAGATCTTGAAATTCTAGCTTGTTGTATACCTACAAGACGAGATAAGTAAAATTATGGTAAATGTCCTTGGATTTTAAGGTAAAGGTTTTAAAATATATTTTAAACTGTTTTTGAGATGGTGGCAGGACCTAACCCGATTTTTTTCATTAGCATCTAAGCATGACTGATTTGAAATGAAAGTTGTTATTATTTTTATTGAGTTTAGCATGCCTGCATGGAGCTTACTTATTTGTTTTGGAAATCTAAAATTGGTTTGGAAATTATGAATTTTCCTACTGAACTCCTGCATGGTTTTGTCTCCAATATGGTCATGATTACTAATGCTCGCCAGTGGGAGTTCGTAAACATTGGCACATGTCGACATGTATATTTGTAGGACCGGTTCATTTTGTATTTCTGCTAGTGGGATTATACATCGGTTATTATTGATGCCTGCTAGTGGGAGTTTTTTAAACATTGTCCATGACTAATTGAAGAGGTCACTATTGAGTTTTACTCTGCATTAGTGGTTTATCATTGAGATATTTCTTCTGGTTTATGTTTAAATTGTTTATCTAACATGCTTTGACTTTAAATAAGAGTTATCCATATTTTTACTTACTAAGTTATCTCACACAGTTTTTCCTTGTTCATCATTTCAGGTAGCGTGACTCGAGATGTTTGAAACTAAGGGAAGTGACAAGCTAGAAGACTAGCCACATATATTTGGACTTAGATAATTGGTTAAAACCCCATTTTGGTCCTTGAATTATTGTACGGACCCTTGATTTGGTCCTTAAATTAAAAAAATCCTTGATTTAATCCCTATTGTTTATCATTTTTACCTCAATTTGGTCCTTCTGTTAAAAATCTTGTAACATGGCTTGTTACTTCACGGTTACAAGATGACATGTCAAAAATTAATATACATCGAAGGCAATAAGACAAAAAAGTGATGACGTGGAAAAAATAATAATGTAAAAAAAATATTATGAAAAATAAAACTTAACAAATTTTTTCTTTTTTCCTTTTTTCTTTTTCCTTCCTTTTCCCTTTCTCTTTCTCCTTCCCTTTTCCCTTCTCTTTCCCCTTGGAACCCAGCATGCCTAGGTTCAATGGAACCAAGGCGCTGGCTTTGCAAGGAACCCAGCACACTTGGGTTTGCAAGGAACCCAAGTGTGTTGGATTCACGTGTTAGGTTCCATCGAACCCAGGTGCAAAAAATTATAAAAAAAAATTTCTGCTTTTGTTTTTTGGATTTTGTTGTTCGATTGTGATGAAAAATTAATCGATGAAGATGAAGAAGGCAAGGCAAGGCAGTCGCTGGGTTCATACAGGTGTTAGGTTCGACGTTGGATTCGATTTCGAACCCAGCAGTTGCTGGGTTCAATTTCGAACCTAGTAGCCGCTAGGTTTTTACAGATGCTGGGTTCAAAATTACTGGGTCGGTGGAACCCAGCGGCTGCTAGGTTCCCTGCAAGTGAGGCTCTAAGTTCCATTTCCAACCCAGCAATGTTGGGTCATAGGATCTATTGAGTTCAGTTTGTTGATTTGTTGTATTATCCTCGAATTTAATATTAAGAGGTGTTAGGGTTTGTAGGTGAAAGGAAAGGGAGAGGAAGAAGAAAGGGAAAAAGGAAAAACAAATGAAGAAAAAAAAAGGAAAAAGAAAATTTTTAAGGTTTTTTTCTCGCCACCTCATTTTTTTGTCATGCTGTACATCCTAAGTGTCAAAATGCTTTTACATGTCATTCTTTTCTTGTCAAATAACGGGATACGTAGGTTGATATTTAACAGAAGGACCAAATTGGAGTACAAATGGTAAATAGTAAGGATTAAATCAATGATTTTTTTAGTTTAGGGACCAAATCGAGGGTCCGTACAATAATTCAGGAACCAAAATTGGGTTTTAACCTAATATTTTGTAACTAGGTATGCTTGATGAATTATTTTTGGACTTAGAGCTACATAATTTTTGTATACTCTTGACTTAATTAAACATTAGTTATTAAGCTAGATTTTACTTGAGATTTTTTATCTAAGTTTATGTGGATTATTAGTTAGGAATTAAGTAGGTCTGAATCTTGTACATTTGTAACATCTTCTTACGAGTGTACGGTTCTTATAAGTGTACGGTGTCTGTCTCATTCTTGGTTTTTGGACGTGACAATTACAAAAGACAAACATAAACCTACAAGTGCTCTTCGCCAGTTTGCATGCCAATAGGAATTTTAAGAATGCTTCCAAGTATGTCAATTGCCTATTGGGTCCAATCAATAAGTAATTAATTTGTAATATCATGAAAAAGATAAAACAAAGGAGGTCATTTAGACCAAGAGAATGGCTGATACAGTTTCTATATCTTCACATTAAATACTGTATTTGTGCAACGAGGAGTTCGTTCCATGTGTCAGGAACGCCCGGTAGGCACCAATGCAAGCAATCATTCATACCATTTGTTGGTCTAATACTGTATCCAGACATGTGAGCTTCATCTCTGAGTACAGAAATGGCAGTTATATCCAATATCTTTATCTTCGTACCTTTAACGGCATCCTCAACTACCGAATCACTGGATCCATCTTGCAAGACTTCGCTACCTTTAGTTAAGGGAGTTGTATTATTACACGTACCCCCAGTGTTCCAGTCTCCATTAAGGAAGTGCCTTGGGGAAATGGTCCTAAAGAAAACTTTAAGTCGGGGGTGTAAAGGAAGTTGTGAATCAAGCCATCTGACCACATTATGGACCGTGAAATTCTTGGCATTTCTAATATCTGCAAGTTCTCCATCCTTGTAAGGAGTCCCATGAACATGCATGACCCAACGGTTTTGTGTAAGCTTCCCTCTATTCCAATGGTGTCCTGTGTTGAGAACTAACACATCAAACCGATGAAGGAATTGTCTCATGAAAGCTGCTGGACGGTCCAAATGCATGGCAACATCAGAGATTGGATTTGTAGCATTAATAGGCACTAGGTCAGACAGACTTGCTGACCAGTAATATAAGATGGTAGTATTTGTATTTGGGAGCCGGTATGCCCATCCATCAGGACGTATGGCTCCACGACGTTTGACAAGCCCAAACTGCCATCCAACATTTTCGACTTCTGGACTGTCTTCTCCACCAGTAGCCATACACATCATAGACTGGAACTGCTGCCTGCCCAATGAGTCTCCTATAAATGCAATCGTTTGGTCCTGCATTCTGGAATTTACAGCCATTCTTAGGAAACTGAACAAATGAACACTTTACCTTTTTTCTTTTTTCTTTTTTAATTTTCTGAAAGAAAATTGAACACTAAGTGCTGAAAAAAATTGGAACTGTATAAGCTTAAAATTAAATTTAAAATTTGAGAAACATGTTGTGCATGTACATTAAGTCAGGAAAAGCAGAAAACAGCAGGGCACATATCTTTCCAGTTGAGTATTTCAATAAGAAAACCAAATATAGTCATCACAGCATAGGCAGGTTCTATTAGTAAATGATACAAAATAATGGGTTTCAAACATGACCATAAATATCAATTGGTATGTTGGATTTTAAGGTATGTAAAATATAGGAGAGGAGAGGTAAGTGAAGGAAGCAGCAAAATCAATAATAACAGTAATAATAATTTAATAAAAAAAAAAAAAAAACCAAGCATACCTTTTCAAAAATGTGAATCGCTCAAACTCTTGCATTTTACAATCTTTTGGCTGCCACCGATATCTTTCAAAAGAGAAATCTGTTCTCTGCGTCAGTCTACATGCCCACATTGCAGATAGCCACTGTTTGCATCCAAACCCAGAATATAAAGGCCGCCTGTTGTCTACAACCCACCTACCCTTGGCATAATTACAGTCTGCATAAGTGAAAATCTGGAGAACTCTCAGAAATATTATATATTGAGAAGAAAGAATGCAAGCATAGCTTTAAATGTCACAGAATAAAGCTTCCTGACAGATTTACAGCAAACATAAACAGGGACAATGACGGATCAAATACAATATCTCTAAAGGGTAAGTAAATTTAGAAAAACAAAAACATTATAAGACAGAGATTGGTTCTTTTCTGTAACTTATGAGAGGGAAATGGATTAGTAAAGACGGTATCATTTGCCATATAACTGAAAATACTACATTGGTTCCTTTCTGTAACTTATGAGAGCGAAATGAATTACAAAAGACAGATTTTTATTTTATTTTATTTTTTGAACCAATACAATTTTGGGGAATTT